CCGCGAGTGCGAGCTCGTCTCTGCCAGGATTTGGGTCGGCACGACAATTTTCGCACAGCTCTGAGGCGGGAAACATTCCAGAAACAAATGAAACCCCCAGTTCGATGTTCGTGGGTTTCACATCCGGTCTCAAGCTCATGAAACCTACCGAAGTTGCGAAAAACTGGGCTGTCCCCTCTGCCAAGGCGCTGGAGCGTGCCGCGCAGAAGATGAAGGCATGGCAAAAGGATATAGAGGAGGAACCCCTAGACCTCTCCGCCCTTGAACCTACCAACGAAGGACCGCGAAGCGTGCCGGTACTGCAGACACCGTCGCGCCCCGTTCTGCATTCGGTTGAGAATGCTCTGTCTCCCGCTCAAGTCCCTGGAAGCCCAAATAGCCCCACCCCCGCAGGCAGAGGTTCTGAGCGCCAGCGCGCACTAGTGCTCGATGTCCGCAAATCCCTCCAGACAGGGCAGAAGCCATTCAAGTCCCCATTACTCAACCACACGTCGAAGCTACCTTCGAGCTCGTCATACATCGGATCGCCGCTGAATCCAAACAGGCTGCTGGATACTCCGTCACGTTCTAGGCTCCCTGCGGCTTTTCCATCTTCCACGGGCGCGATCACATCCACGTCTGCCACTGGCTGGAAGGCGTCCACGCCCGCACCCCTCGTGTTTTCGGCAGCATCCTCGTCAGCGAGCCCGAGCAAGGTATCAGGAATGAAAGCGCTCGGGCTTACGCCTCGGCGCGTGGGGATCGGTGGCATGGTGGGAAAGTCCAAGTTCAAGACACCGTTCAAGCCGGGTCTGAAGCCTGGGGAACCAGGACGCGTACAACTCGAGCAGAACCAGGCCAGTCAGCGCGAGGTTCAAAGACAGGACACTGTAATTTCTCTTGTGGGCGAGCAGTCGAGCGTTGCGAAGCCGGTGCAGGTCAAGCCAAAGGCATTGGCCTATTTTGATCTCAGTCTGTGCCGTATGATGTTTTCTGTCGCGAGATGCTGACGGTGTTGCCCTTCTAGCACCACCCATCGGGAGACAGACGCTCGCTACGTCTGGCCTCGTCCCTCAATTGTTCACTCCTCAAGAACTGGAAGCGAAGGGCGTGTACGTATCCGTGCTCGTGCGCCGTCGTGCTGCCTGACGCGCCCTCGTATACACCAGAAACTTCTCGGATCTGAGCCAGATCACCCCCGCCACCGCGCGCTACTACTCGTTCCATCCGTCCTCGGTGGTCCCGCCCACCGTCACGTCTGCATCATTCGACCTGCTCAATCCCGAAGCCGCGTTATGCGAGCTGCAAGAACGCGGATGCATGCTGGCCACGCTCGACTGGGTGATCAACCACTGGTGCCTGATCCTGTGGAAGCTCGCGGGCATGGCGATGCTCGACCCCCACAGCGAGGCCGACCCCGCAACCCGGCGCTGGTGCTGGCGCGAAGTGGTGCGCCAGCTCGTATACAGGTACGCCCGCGCCTCCGCACTGCGCACCGGGGCTGACGGGCTCGGCCTGTCGCAGATACGAACGCGAGCTGTACAACACGGCGCGGCCCGCGCTGCGGCTCGTGACCACGCACGACGCGCCGCCGTCGTGCCCTATGGTGCTCTGCGTGTCCAATGTGACGTGGCCCGACGCCGGCGTGGACGAGCACGGCGAGCCTGTCAAGAAGCCGGAGGTGGAGGTCACGGACGGGTGGTACAGGCTGCGGGCGCAGCTCGACGACGCGCTCGAGCGCGCCGTGGTGAAGGGCGTCCTGCGCGTCGGCCGCAAGATCGCCGTCTCCGGGGCCCGGGTGCGTCGCGCGGACATGCGTGCTTGTTTTCGTTCTCGGCGCTGATCGGCGCGTTTTCTGGCTTGATGCAGATTGTCTCGGACACCAAGGACCCCTGCGAGGTCCTGGACGCGTACGAGAGCATGTCCCTGCGGATCTGTGGGAACGGCTCGCATATGGCGCCGTGGCATGCGAAGCTCGGCTTCGTGCAGCAGCCATTCGTCGCGACGCTCGACAGCCTCACGTCCGACGGGGGGGTTGTCCCGCTCATTGATGTTGTCGTGACCAAGGTGAGCGAGCACTTGACGAGCGGGAATGCCGCTGATAGGCGTGTGGTGCGCAGGTGCATCCGATTGCGTTCTTGGAGTTCATCGAGCATGAGGGGGGGACGATCCAGGAAGGTCCTTGGGACCAAAGGGAAGAAAACAGGAGGCAGGAGCACTGGCAGGTGCGTATCTCCTATGTGTGCGTGCATGCAGACAGATGGCTCACGGCGAGCGAACGCAGGTCCGCAGAGAAGCGGCAGAGTCGAAACTGCGATATGAGTTCGAGAAGAAGTTGGGTGTCCTCGAGGCACACGCAGAACGCCTGGAACGGCGGGCCGGGTCCGCCTTTCACCCCGGGCAGTGGGGTAAGCAGCTCAGCCTTTGATACGATTGGCAATTGACAACCAACGGACGAGGCGTCCAGATTCCCCGCCCGATAATGTCGAGAACTGGTTCTACCAGCTCGAAAGCAATGACAACATCGTCCTCTTGCTCGGTGGTCTGCACCCCGAGGACGCAGGCTGGCTTGCCAGGCACATCCATATTCAATGCGCAAAGAGGCGACAGAGGCTCCACGACGAGATCCGTGAAGAGCTCGACGTGAGTGTCCCGTGTCCCTTGCCCCGTATCTCGTCGTACTGATCCAGACGCAGTCTATGTGCCCGCCACGCGATGTACGCTCCTTCCGGGTTGTTATCGCAAAGGACGCACAGTGGGTGAAGCGCGAGCCCCTCCGCCGGGCACAGATCACGATTTGGGACATCCTCGGATACACCTTCAGCGAGGGCGGGCAGGCGGGCGCCATCAAGGAAGGTCAGAGATTCAAGGTTGGGATGCTCTCGTCTGGACCAAATATACAGCCGCTGACCCATGGCTGGGCAGGTTTCTAACTGCATTCCGACCACCCGAAGCGCGTGGATGAAAGTCGCTGTCGATGCTGAGGTGTATTTGACCGCTGGGAGGGGCTGTCGTTGGATGAGGGTGAAGTGACCATCGCCTTGAACACAGTGCAGCCGTCCCATTCCCAACCCCATATGTTATTCTTACATGTCGCACCGAGCTTCCGAGCATGCTGTATTATTAACGGAATGTTGTAATCTGTGCTAGCTGCACAATAATCCGGGTGGCTCACGCGCCCCCGACGCCGTACTTCCTCAGCGTGCCTTGCCAGTCACCGAGATCTTCCCGGCCCATGCACACCACCGTCGCCCTCTTGCTTGACTCGGGGCTGAAGATGCGCGCAGCGACCCGCCTGAGGGACTCCGGGGTCACCTCGTCGATCCGCGCGCACATCTCGGACACCGGGACCTTGCGGTCGTGCACGAGGATCTACGAACACGCAGGGTCAGCGTCCTGGCCGAGTGGAAGAACGCGCGCAGCACTCGCCTGTCGCCCGAGGTCCTCCACCTCGACCGCACGGCTCTCGAGCGCCATCATGAGGCTCGACTTGAGCTGGTTCTTCGCGCGGCTGAGCTCGGTCTTCGCCGTGGGGGTGTAGAGCAGCAGGCTGAGCTGGTGCACGAGGTGCGGGAAGATCTGCGCGGGGGAGTTGCCCTGGTGCCGCGAGGCCGCGGGCACGAACGACGCGAAGAGCCCGAAGAGCGACGAGTCCGTGTAGATGTGGTGGAACGACGCGCAGTGGTCGATCTGCGGGTAGTGGTTCAGGATGTGCGTGTACAGCCGCGAGTACATGCCCTTGCCCGGACCGCCTGCGGGGCTGTTAGCATGGAGCAGGAGGGAGAGCAGCGGGCGTACCGGCTGAGAAGCTGCCGCCTCCGCCGAGGAGAACCTGGATCGTCGCGAGCGCGTAGACGTCGTCGTCGTGTATGCCGACACCTTCGAATGCGAGGTAGAGGTGGTTGAACTCGGACGACGGATCGTGTATGAAGCGGTGTCCACCCGTGTATGTTGAGGTCAAGTTGAGGTCTAGTGGTGATACGGTGGCATTCTGGCCAGTGACTGTCGACGGAGGGTAGAGGTAGGATGCTGCCCGAGTCAGCGACTTGTATAATGATGGCGAAGACGACGGGAGGAGCTGCGAGGGCACCTGCTGTGGTGCAGTGGCAGTTGGTCGGACCGGCGTGACTTGCGGAGGCGGAGCGGACGAGTCCTTCAGTGACGAGAAATGCTTGTCGGCTAGCTCGACGAGCTCCTCGTGGGGCATTCCCGCTCCTGCGATGACCATCCGCTCCGGACGGTACCAGTCGCTCATGAACTGCCGCATTGTATGCTCGTCAGTGAGGTCGATGCGCTCCTCGGGGCACAAGAGGGGATTGCCGAGCGTCCTCCCATCATATGCAACGTCGTGCAGAATTTCAGGAATGATCATGTCTGGCTTCGCATACACCTCCCGGATCTCGTAGCGCGCTGCCTCGCGCTGAGCGGCGATCTCTTCGGGGAGGAATGAAGCATTGAGGACGGTATCGGCTATGAGGGACATGGCAAGGGGGGTCGCCTGGTGGAAGTGGGAGGACTGGTACATGATCGACTCGCGGGAAGACGAGCACAGGATCTGCCCGCCGAGCTTGTCAATGGCGGTGGACATGTCCTCATCGGAGCGCAGTCCTGTCGTCTGCACACGAGCACCGTCAGACGTGTCATGGAACGGGTGAAAACGACGCGCACCTTGAACGCCATTCTATCCAAGAAATGGCTTACGCCTGACGTAGAGGGTGTCTCATAACGCGAGCCTGCATCGACATAAAGGCCGACGGAGGAGAAATGACCAGGCGTGGACTCTGTCGCGACACGGATTTTGTTAGGAAGAGTAGTGATCTGGACTGGAGGGTTGACAGAGTTTATGGCAAGATCATGAAGCCTGCGTTGCCTGACACCTCTGCGAAGGAGTGCTGCGGGTGCTCTTGCTGCTCTGCGCATGGGTGTCGACGACGAGGGGATGCGCCTTAACAAGCGCCGATCTGACTGACAATCTGCCACACCCGTGACCAAAAAGTCCGAGAAAGCTTGCTCGTCAAGCAAGGCCTCAGCGTGGTTCGAACACGCGACCGCACGATATCCTGCAAACACTGCAATCGTGTGCTCTACCACTGAGCTATAAGGCCGACGCCGAAAGAGCTCTTGAGACAACTTCGAAGACTTACACCCGGTTATATCCGGCTACTGAAACGGAACGATCGAGCCGTTGCCGAGTACCCGTCCCGAAGGCACTTTAAATGGACGAGGTGACGATCCGGGACTCAGATGCTCAAGGACCCGTCCCATGCTTGCCCATGGCCTTCTCCAACACCTCAATTCTCATTCCCACCCAGTTCTGGGGCCCCGTTACCGCAACTTTAGATTGGTGCGAGGTCAGCCAACGCCCAGATCGTCCCGCATCCCTCTGCACGCTGACCCCTACCCCATGCATGACATTCTATGCAGGCCAATTACCAGTTCTCGAGCTATGTCGCCGAGGTTGCCAACGCCTACTCCAATGTTGTCACCGTGGGGCTTGCTGCGTACCTCGCATATCAGGCATACACCGAGGCACTGCCAAGGCGCTATCTCGCGGGTTATACGGTCAGTCGCGCAGTATCACTGCACCTCGCATATGATCATCTGTGCACGACCACAGGGTTTTGCCCTTGTCGGAATAGGTAGTTTCATCTTCCATGCGACCTTGACATTCGAGGCACAGCTCGCGGACGAACTGCCCATGATCTATGTCGCTAGCTTCTGTTGCGGCTTCCTCTTCGACACGGGCCGCGGGTTCAGTGTGCGCGACTCCAACGCTGTGCCCCTGTTCGCCTTTGTTATCTGCTTCAACGTGCTTTTCACATGGTCCTAGTATGTGCTCCTTCCATCCTCCTCTGTCAACCCGGATGGTAATCTTGCCGATATGTTGGTCAGCTATCTAAGCCGGAATCCGATATATCACCAAGTCGTGTTCGCTTGCATATTGCTCGTCACGGCGATCCGCACCATGATCTTGCTGCGCGACGAGGAGGTCACCAGGAGATTGCCGCCTGCATCCAAGACGCTCGTCGCGCGGACGTTCACAGTTGGCGCTGCGACCTTCGCGTTTGGCTTTTTCGTGTGGAACCTCGACAACATATTCTGTGAGACGCTCACTGGATGGAAACGCGACATCGGATGGCCCGTCGCCTTCTTAATGGAAGGTATGTGGGAGTATTCTGCCTCTCTGGTCAATATCTGAAGCATCTTGCAGGCCATTCATGGTGGCATGTACTAACTGTGGGTATTGCCGAAACCCCTATTATCCACTGCGTACTGAAGCTTCCTCAGGCTGCCGGCACGTATCTGATGCTAGTGGGGAATACCTGTAAGTGACTACTCGCTGTCCATACAAAGCAACGCACCTCTGACTGTTCCCCTAGATTTGTAAGTCTGAACACCGGTAAGAACGTCCAGATGTTTACTGGGAGACGATAGCACACTCTGCATCAAGCTCGACCATCGTGACTTTGCCATCACACGCTCGTTCCTCGGTGTGCCGCGGGTTTCGCGGCTTGCTAACAAGGGCAAGACACAGTAGCAATTTAGAGACACTGGCATGGCTTTACGAACTCACAACCGACGAACTTATGACCTTCCGCACACTCGCTGTTATCGCTAACACATTGCTGTTTTCCCTCTCCCTCGGCTCTTCGGCTTTGTATCTTTACGGGACCTTGCACGACTATGTTGTATAGATGGCAATTTACAAACCAATCGCACTCCATCCATGCTATTTGCGTTCAGAAACTGTCGTAGCTTGCCCAACTAGCATGATGCTTTCTATATGGATTGCTGCAAATAATGTTATGTGTGTATGCGTGTGAGTGAGGATGGATTGATTACTGCCAGTGTGTGTCAGCCGTTTGTAAAACATTCGCTCAAAACCAGCTCTCACCTTTTGCTGATGAGTTATGTTGTGAGAGTATGAGTGCAGTCGCTGCACAGCCAACTATAGAGGCTCGCCAACGGTCCATTTGGCGAACTCAACCACCTCGACCCCAGCACCCTCCTCACCCTGATCCGCCATGCCCCGCTCGTGCGCCCACTTCTTCAAGAACGCAGCAACCAACACGCCGCTACCCTCGCCACCATACATCTCAAACGGCTGCGCGTACAACGCACCCTCGTCCTCCGCGCCGCCCGGCGCGCGGATCGCCGTGGTCGGGAAGCCGATGATCTGCCGGCCCAGCGCGCCCGCGAGCTTCTCGAGGTCCGCCTGGAACCCGTCCTCCCGCAGGAGCACAGGCAGCGCGGGCGCCTTGAGCGCAAGGAGCGCGAGGCTGCCGATGCGGCCCTGGAGCGGGTCGCCGACGGACTGGTGCACGCGCGCGGAGGCACGCAGCGCGAGCTCGGGCGGGCGGAGCGCGTCGGCGGTGAGCGTCGCGGCGCGGCGGAGCGCGATGTTCTCGCCGACCTGGCCGACGAGGGTGCGGAGCGCGTCGGCGACGGTGCCGGCGTGGGCGGGCGCGCCGGGGGTGCGCGCGGAGAGGAGCGGCGCGGCGCGGAGCGCGTCGAGCGCGAACGGGCGCACGAGGGACGGGGCGGAGGGGGCGGGCTCGGCGAGGAAGGCGGCGGTGTGCGCGATGTCGGCGAGGAGCGCGCCGAAGAGCGCGTTGCGCGCGACGAAGTCTGTCTCGCAGTTGAGCTCGACGAGCGCTGCGCGCACGCCGCCGGGGGCGCCGCGCGCGAGGACGGCGGCGCCGACGAGCCCCTGGGCCGTCGTGCGGTCTGCGACCTTGGCGGCCTTCTTTGCGGCGGCCTCGGCGCGGTTGGTCTCGAGCCACTTCAGGGCTGCGGGGATGTCTCTGTCCGTGGCAAGCAGGGCCTGTGCAGCCTGGGTAGGGGAGACATCGGGGCCGGCGTGGTTGCGCAGAGTGGCGACGAGGTCCTTGAGGGACTGCTTGGGGGGCGCAGTCGAGTAGAGGCGGAGGGAGAGGCGCGGGGCGGAGCGTGCTGCCAGCGAGAACATGCCGGACGCGTTCAGAATTCTGAAAATTCATTTTTTGCGCGTCGATCACATCCTCGCGCACGTGCTCAGCCGTCGAGGATTTCTTCGGCTGAGTGCACTTGGAGCTCGAACTAAGTCTGCAACCGCGCCTGGCAAGAAACGGCCACCATGGCGTCCGCATTTTCCTTCAAAATGCCCTCTATCATCCCCCAAGACCTGCAGCTCATCCACGATCTGATCGGAGAGGTCGTCCCCCCACCCGCCAAAGACACACCACCAGACGCACCGACAGGGGAGGACTCCATCGACAGCTCGGACAGCGATGCAGACAGCGAGCGCGAGGTGGAGGAGGACATACTGAGCGGGCTTGACGAGCAGAAGGACGGCTCTCCTGGAACGTATGTCTGCATGTCCCGCCTCATTCTCTATCCTGATCTTTTCGTGCAGTGCTGGGCCCTCTGAATCTGCGGCGGGACCTGCGTCTGACTCTGATTCAGACTCTGATTCCGATGCAGAAGATCTCCGGCGCTGGAGGGCCTCAAAAGCTAACAAGGCCGACGAGCCCGCCATGGACGAAGACGAGACGGGGCCCTCGGTGACATCGGCGGCGCAGGTCAAGACGGCACACGAAATCACCGATGTCGAGGTTATCATCCCGGAGATGGAAGAAATAGGCCCGGACAACGAACTCGAGAAGGTGGGCGAGGTGATGAGCATCGTCAACAACGTGGTGATCGTCAAAGGCTCTGCCTCTGCTATTGCGCACAGGGCGTCCGAGACAGCGCTCGATTCTGACACCCTGCTTGTGTTTGAAGACAGGAAGGTCCTTGGATATGTCAGTGATCGACTGCGCGTTGATCAGGACCATCTTAGTTAACGGGGGTGTATACAGATTGCGGAGACGTTTGGCCCCACCACCCAACCCCTGTATCAGGTGAAGTTCAACCAGCAATATCCACTCGACCCCGAAAAGGTACAGGTCTTACGCCCTGTCTTTCACGTCCCGGCTCGCAGCAAGTATGTCTTCGTCCGAGACCTGCGGCACTTCAAGGGCAGCGACGCGAGCAACCTCCACGACGAAGAGCCGGGCGAAGACGAGATAGAGTTCTCCGACGATGAACAAGAGGCTGCGTACAAAGCGCGCAGGTGCGTCGCACGCACGCTTCCCCTATGGTGTTCTCATGGTTCTTCCCTCTAATCTTGCAGACGTGATCGCTCACGCTCACGCTCTGTATCCGTCGCGCCCTCGCGGGGCGCGACCCCGACGCCCTCGCAGATGCGCGACCAAGACATGGTCGATGACCTGTACGGCCAGAACCCGTACGACGATCCGGGCTCGTACAACGACATGGACTTCGGAGCCGGCCCATCACGCCCTCCGCCCATCCCGTACGACGACCCCTACTCAGACAGCTACGGAGTCCTCGACCCGCAGCCCTCGTCATCCACCCCGGCTCCTCCTGGTTCTGGGAGCCCACGTGCGAAGACGAAAGATGTGAACGCAAGTCCTAGGAGCGACGGTTCCTCATCGGACGATGGCAGCGTCGCGAGCAACCGTGCACGCGGGCGCGGGCGCGGACGAGGTTCTGGAAGAGGCGGCTCTGGCAGACGCGACGAGCGCGGGCGGGGCCGCGGACGCGGAAGGCGGGGCGACCGGGGCCGAGGCCGAGGCGGCGACGACAGACGGTTCAGCAGTGGCTACGCCGACGCACGCCCGCCGCGCCCACTGTCACCGACTTCTCAAGCCATCGCGCGCGCCACAGGCCAGTATGCGGATGGGTCGGCAGTGAGCGCGGAGTACCCGATACCGAGCAGCCCGTCTGCTGCGCTGCAGCACGGGGTGGACGGTGGCGGGTGGGCGTACCCGCAGTATCCCGTGCAGCAGCAGTACGATTTGTCCTTCGAACATCAGGCACAAGGCTATCAGCAGCCGTATGTGCAGCCGCACATCAACCCGCGTTTGCCTCTGCGTTCGGGTTCAATATGAACTTTGCGCCGCAGGGTCACCAGTACGGTGGGTATGATTATGGTGGGATGGGCTATCATGGGGGCGGCGATGGATCAGGTGCTTGGAATGGCGAATGGGCCAATCCTGGTGATAGTGCAAGGACAGGAGATGAAAACCGCTAAACATCTTCGCAGTGGCCTTGTGCTTAG